GGCCCAGTGGCTCAGCCTCCCTAGTCACCTGAGCTGGGCATTCTTGGTGTGTCCTTGTGCACTGTCTTATTGTAGTTGAGCCTTGATTGCTGTTGGCATCACTGGGAAAGATATACCCCCGTGCCAGTTGGCTGTGAGGACCAGCTGTGACTACAGTGGAAGAGCTACTGTGCAGGAGACACCCCTATGGAGCAGGACTGGCTTCACTGTGGCTTTGGTGCTCACTGAGTCTGTCCCTTGACTGTGTTGCTCATGGATGTGTTGAATTGTAATCTGGCATGGTCTGAAGCTGTCCATCAGACACACTGGCTCTGGGGCCCCCCTGGAAGGGAAAAGTCAGCCACTGCCTGGGCCCTGTCTGGGGTCACCCTTCAGGAGCTTCAGAGCAATCTGCAGATGGCTGCTACTTGTGTTAGACTTGGAAATTCCCAGGAGAGGCCAAACTGTGAAGCAAGGCAGGCTGCTGCTAATGTCGGGCCTGGGGCCTCTTATTGAGAGTTATGGGGCACACTGACGCAAGCTGCTACTTGTTTGAGAGATTTTATAAAGGTCTGAAGCCTGAGCCAGGACAGGCCATTCATATGGAAAAGTAGCTGCAAACAGCTTAGATAGGGCTGCAAATTGGGCAGGGCAGGGTCTCAGTGAATCACCAGGGTGGAGCAAACAGTATGAGCCAGGTTGATGTGGACTCAAATATGGTGCCTGCCAGTCAGCTCTACTATGGAGAGGTCTCAGAACAGGAACAATGACCCCTGGGAGTACCCCTGTCTGGGAGAAAGCTGCCCCCAAGTTCTTGCTTTGATGTCAGACAATTCAGTTCCTCCCCATATGTTTCTGTATCCCCTCCAAGCCACTGCCCCAGCACTGGAGCTCAGAGGGAGTGGGGCTATGTAAGTTCATGCACTGGCCCTTTAAGAGGAACTGCCTGGGTTTCCAGCAGCCTCCTTGTCACTCAGCCATAATCCCTGCTGGTTTTTGCAGCCTGAAGTTACCGGGACTTCTCTTCCCAGCTTTGGAACCCTGGGTTGAGGGTTTGGTGTGGGGCTGGGACTCATTGCTTCTCATGGGAGGCCTCCACCCCTAGACATCCCTCCTAATTAAAAAAATACCACACATGGGTATTCAACCAGCCCGTTTCACCCCTCTGCCCCTCCTACCATTCTCAATGTGCTTTCTTCTTTACTTCTGTAGTTGTAGGATTTCTATTCAGCCAGATTTCAGGTAATTTGGATGGTTGTTCTGTGTTTTAGCTGTAATTTTGATGTGCTTGTACCAGAAGGCTGCAAGTACCAGCATTTACCTACAGCACCATCTTGGTTCTCTCCTTCAACTTGATCTTCATAATTTTTATTTTAACATAAAAAAATTTTGTATATTGAAAAATTAGTTATTCCATACTGGCTTTAAGACTGGCTCTATCTCTGAGTAGTGAATTTGGCAATTTTTAAAGACTTCTAAACTTAGAATTACTTACAGCAAAATAACATAAAGTGTACCTTGCTTCATGTGTTTCCTCTGGAATCATTATGAAAAATCAGTTTGGGGTGGTTGTTTTATTCATTTTAAGGTAAGAAATTTAAACTGGGATATAAAACCAGAACATGCCACCTGTAGTTTAAAGAAGTTATAATTCAATGCTGTATTTTCTTCAGATACTTTTATAAAGAAATAAATCACTACTGATTCAATTGAGAGTCACTGTTCCTCTCCTCCATTACACTACATTCCCTCCTGAGAGTAATCATAATCATTGTTGATGTAAGAACATCCATACCTGAACAGAAATTAAGACTTCTTTTAAGCCAGGAAGCAAGATCTCAAGTGCTCCAAATAATGATCATTTTGCAGGTTCTTTTATGCATTTGGAATTAAGAAGGGAAGATAAGGAAGATTGCATGAAGGTAGAAGAAAGCAAGGCAGAGAAATCTCCATGATTAGGTTTCAGCTAGTTAACAAGATTAGATGCTCCCTTGAGGATGGTTCCACCTCCAAGGGTCTGAAAAGAGGTATTTCCAAGGTGTGTTAACCTAGATGCACATTAAGATGGATGGGGCTTGGTTAAGGGGAAGATAAACCTTTTATAGGCCAGGGGTGCAGGACTACCCACTATCACCTGCCTAGTTAGCAATTTATGATGAAATCACCCTGTGAGGTTACTTTCAGTTAGCTTTGTTACAGTGCCCCCTTTCATCCATGTCATAAAACCAGTGCAGATCACATCCATGCATTTATTTAACTTTTACTACAAAAAAAATCTACTTTCAAATGTTCTAACCTATGTTGCTCAATACGGAGGCCACTATCCACATGTGGCTATTGGGCATAGGAAATGTGGCTAATCTAAATTGAGATGTACCATAAGTATGAAATATACTACAGATTTCAAAGAATTAGTGCAAAAAGGAGAATGTAAAATATACTATTTGTAATTTTTCTATTCATTATATATTGAAATTATAAAAGTTTAGATATGTTGAGTTAAAGAAAATATTGTAATAACTATGTATGGTGTCAGATGAGTACAAGATTTATTGGGGTAATCACTTAGTAAGCTATATAAAGGTCTAATCACTATGTTGTATACCTGAAACTATTATAATATTGTACATCAACTGTAAATAAAAATTATTTTTAAGGGAAAAAAACTCTTATGCTGCCCTAACCTGTTTGGTTCAGTGGGTAGAGTGTTAGCCTGCAGACTCAAGGGCCCCAGGTTCAATTCCGGTCAAGGGCATGTACCTTGGTTGCGGGCACATCCCCAGTAGGGAGTGTGCAGGAGGCAGCTGATTGATGTTTCTCTCTCATCGATGTTTCTAACTCTTTATCCCTCTCCTTTCCTCTCTGTAAAAAATCAATAAAATATATTTTTAAAAAAACACTCCTATGCTTGGCACTGCCCCTTCATGTCACCAAAGTAATAGAAGTGATCATTTTCCACCTCTGTTTCCAAAATTATTGATGTTTCCATGCTACTCTCTTATTGCTGTTAGAATGGACATTATATTTCTGGGCCTAATATTTTCCATCTGTAAGAGGCAGTTTGTCTGAATGAGCTCCACGACTTTTTTTATGCCTTTCATACTGTATAATTTTTTGACTATACATTTAAATAAAGAAAGCTGCTATTGCAATAAACTTTTTACAAAGTAATCTTTGTCATATAAAACAGGTAAATAAACTAGAATTATTGGGTTTGTTTAACCCAAAGAAAACTTTCAGAGGGCAGAAGGAGGGGAGTGATGTAAAATATAAAATATGCTTATTTAACATATAAAATGTCCAAATATTTTAAAGGCTGCTACCAAATGGAAGAGAGATTGGATTCAATCTTTCTAACCTCAAGGAATGTAACTGTAACCAATGATAATTTTTAGACTTCTCCTCTCTCTCTCATAAGCAGAACCTGCATGGTGCATAAGACTACAGAGTGACTTAGTCTCTGTGAAATTATTAAACCAGAAAACTTTTAAGATAATTTTAAATTGTAATATTCTTTGATTCTATAATAGACTGGTCTTCCATATTAGCCCTGTAAAGGAAATTCTATACTTAAGATTGAAAAACTTAGTTCAAGAGTATCCTATATAATAAAATCCTAGGTGGCGTCACGCCTTCTCGCGACGCCCTTGCACGACGCCCTCATGCGACATCATCACAAGATGGCCACCACAAGATAGCCACCCTCATGTCATCACAAGATGGCCACTACAAGATGGCTGCTACAAGATGGCCGGGAGGGGAGGGCAGTTGGGGGCAATCAGGCTGGCAGGCAGAAGTGGTTAGGGACAATCAGGCAGGCGAGCGGTTAGGAGCCAGCAGTCCTGATTGTGAGAGGGACAGTCAGACATCCCCCAAGGGGTCCAAGATTGGAGAGGGTTCAGGCCAGGCTGAGGGACACCCCTCCAGCGCATGAATTTTGTGCACCATGCCTCTAGTCCTATATAATAATCCTATATAATAAAAGGCTAATATGAAAATAGACCAAACGACAGAACAAAAGAACAATCAGTTGCTATGACATGTGCTGACCACCAGGGGGTGCACACAGAACATGGCGGGCATCAGAAGCAGGCAGCAGAGCGCGGAACGTGGCAGGCGTTGGCCATGGCGGGATGGTGGAGCAGGTGAGCGGAGGCACCAGACCAAGGCAGGACACTGGTCGCTGTCATCAGGGCAAGCCTCTGGTGGTTACTGAAAATTCTTTGCTCCTGTGCACCGCGGTCCCGCCCGGTGCTCACACCTGCTGCTGGCCCTGTTCTCACCTGCTGCCAGTGCTCAGCGCCGGCCCTGATCACCCCTCAGGGCTTCTCCACCTCCCCCTGCTCCTGAGGGGCAATCTGGGCTGGCAGCTGCCTCTCGTACCCACTCCCAGTCACACCTGCTGCCGGCACCATCCCCACTCACACCTGCAGCCTGCGCCGGAGCTGCCACTCACACCCACTACTGGTGCCCAGCGCCAGTCCTGATCGCTCAGCACCGTCAGTGGGTGTGAGCAGTGGCTTCCGGCCCCGATCGCCCCTGAGGGCTTCTCCACCTCCCCCTGCTCCTGAGGGATGATTGGGGCAGCAGTGGAATGACTGGTCACTATGACACGCACTGACCACCAGGGGGCAGATGCTCTATGCAGGAGCTGCCCCCAGCCTGCAGGCCCCAGGCCAGCCAAGGCAGGTGACAGTGGGGGCCTCCCCGATCTCCCTGCTAGTCTCCGCACATATTGGCCCTGATCGTTGGCCAGGCCTAGGGACCATATCCATGCATGAATTTCATAATTATCACTTCAATCATTGGTGAATAGCTGAAAAATATATGGGCATGAGGCAAAGAAGGGTACATGAGACACCTAAATCATTCTAGTAGACCTGAGAGACCCCATCTCCTGGAAAGACTGGCTTTTACCTGTAATGTTCCTGTAGCTACCATGCTCAACAACAGGCTGGTTAGGTGTGTTGAGGGCAACCTCTGGACCAACTTAAGAACCTGACTGTCTCCTTATCTTTCAGATGTTCACCTCCACAATATTTGCTGTGATCGGATTCTTGGGGGCTGGATACTCATTTGTCATCTCAGCTATCTCCATCAACAAGGGTTCTAAATGTCTCATGGACAATAGCACATGGGGCTACCCCTTCCATGACGGGTAAAGTACACTTTTCAAGGGGCACAGTCAGATAAATGGCCAAAGGGGAGATGCTGCACATGCATGTCCTGTCATCTTAATTTGCAAGTCTCAGGCATGCTGCTCTGTGAGGCATAGCTGGAGTGTGTACTGGAGTGAAGCTGCCAAGATCTCAGCTCTAACTGCTGCTTTGACAGAGACCAGGAGAAATAATGAAAGGGGGCACCTCAGCTGGCCTGAGGTAAGGAGATTTGTGGTGTCTCTGCTGACATTCAAAGTTTATTAGCAGACACATGAGACAACTAATAATATTAATAAACAGGGCCTCCATTAAAAATATAACAATGGAAAACAAGAACAATTATTCACTAACAGGCTCAAAGGCTTTCACTAATATCCCAAATGGTCTATAACTAAACAGATTTTTAAGGTGCAAATTTACAGCTAATGACATTGGAAACATTGTAGATTCTTCATGAGAGTTAATGTCAACAGAAATCTTTAAAATAGCAAATAGCATTTCATATTGTCATTGTTCTTTGTAAAAAGCTTCCTTTTTGTGATAGCCAGTTTTGCTCAGTAGTTAGAGCGTTGGTCTGCAGACTGAATGGTCTCAGGTTTGATTCCGGTCAAGGGCATGTACATATATCAGTGCAAGCTCAATCCTGGGGCACATGTGGGAGGCAACCAATTGATGTGTCTCTCTCACATTGATGTTTCTCTCTCTCTGTCTCTACCCCTCCCTTCCACTCTCTCTAAAAATCAATGGAAAAAATATCTTCTGGTGAGGATTGACAACAAGAAAAAAAATACTTTTCTTCTTGCCCTGGCAAGAAGTTAGAGCATTGAAGTGTCTTGGGTTCAATTCCAAGTCAGGTCACATACCTGGGTTGCAGGTTCCATCCCACACCCCGATTGGGATTTATGGAGGAGATAGCCAATTGATGTGTCTCTCTCACACCAATGTTTCTCTCTCTCTACCCCTCCTTCCTTCCTTCCATTCTCTCTAAAAAATCAATGGGGAAAAAATATCCTCAAGTGAGGATTAACAAAAAACCCACAACTTTCTTTTTCTTGTTTTTTAACAAATTTATAATTTAATATCCATAACAACCCCAAAGGGTAATTTACTTCCTGCCAAGACAGGCTTAAGAAATTTGACTAGCTCTAACTAAGTCAGACTGCCATCTGGGGGCAAAGCTCAAATTCACATTTTCTGACTTCCAAGCTTAGTCTCCTTATATTACACACTAGAGGCCTGGTGCATGGATTTGTGCACTGGTGGGGTCCCTCAGCCTGGCCTGTGCCCTCTTGCAATCTGGGACCCCTTGGGGGAAGTGAAGCAGCAGTTCCCAGCTTACCCCTACTTCCTAACTGTGCAAAATTCCATTGTTAGAAATGTTGCTATGTGTTCTTTATAGGTTATACTAGTATTTGTTTTTAAACAAACCTCTTGAAATATTATAAAACAATGCATGTTCACTAATACAAAAGTTGAGAGTTCAGGCCAGAACTCTTAGCTACTTGAATTTTATTTTCCTTCCCCAACGATTTGCTAGATGCTTGCACTGTTCTCTGCTCTCTATGGCATTCCCAGGCCCCGTAGTGAAGCGGCAGGTGGCCAGGAAGGAGCCCAAGTCTGGGCCGGGTGCCACACCACACCCGCTCATCCCAGCCCCGCTGCACCTGCCACCACTGCTGCTTGGTAGCGCTGCTGCAGAGGAGGAAGAGGCTTGCGCCGCTGCAGCTGCACTTGCCAGCTGTGAGCCCAGCGTCTGGTGCCCATCTGTCAGCTGAGCGGTGGTCCCACTGTGGGAGCACACTGACCACCAGGGGGCAGCTCCTGTGTTGAGCGACTGCCCCCTGGTGGTCAGTGTGCATCATAGTGACCGGTCAACCAGTCATTTGGTTGTTCAATTGCTTAGGCTTTAATATATATAGATTCTCTGCCTCTACACTGCAATGTCCAATACGGTAGCCAGTAGCCACATGTAGCTATTTAAATTTAAATTCATGTAAATGAAATAGAGTTAAAAACTCCTCAGTCACATTAGTCATCTTTCAAGCACTCAGTGGCCACACATGGCTAGTAGTGACTGTACTGAATATCATAGACACAAGGCAGCTCCACAGTCACAGCCAGCCTACCAGACAGTGCTCATGGACTCGAACCTCCACGAGGGTTGGGACCATTTCTGCTCTGTTCACTGCTGCAGCCCCTCCACCCAGCACAGTGACTGATGCACCCAGAGGGTCAGGAAAGATGGTTGTTAGGTCCTCCTGCACATGGAGGATGGGTTCATTACTAGAAAACCTATAGGGCACCGGTTTATTAACTCAAACCTCTTTATTAATTTACAGTGAAAAGTTAAGAACCCGCCCTAACCGGTTTGGCTCAGTGGATAGAGTGACGGCCTGCGGACTGAAGGGTCCCAGGTTCGATTCCAGTCAAGGGCATGTACCTTGGTTGCGGGCACATCCCCAGTAGGGGGTGTGCAGGAGGCAGCTGATTGATGTTTCTCTCCCATCAATGTTTCTAACTCTCTATTCCTCTCCCTTCCTCTCTGTAAAATATCAATAAAATATATTTTTTAAAAAAAGAAAAGTTAAGAACCCAGAGCAGGCTTCAGGGAGGGGAGGTGGCGGTACTGGTTCTGTTATGACCTGAGGTCCAGTGTGTTCACAAGTTTCACATAAAATATCCCCACCCTTCTCTATAGCTGAACAGGAATACACGGCCTCTAATATCCTCATACCACAGGCAGGGATTCCCAAATTTACTGTGAAACGCCCTCTCATCTCACAGAGGACTACTGGGGCTCCCCTGCCATGAGAGGGCTTGTATTTTTGTTTAACTATAGAGTAAGTACAGGTGACAGCATCAGAGCAGCACAGAATATGGTTTTCTATTTATCTGTTACGTGAATGATACTATCCTGGATGAACTTAAGACCAGTTAGAGTAAATCTATGTACAAAACAAAGGGGAAGAAAGGAAACACAACAGATGCCAAGTCACACTCCCAGGCAGTGGTCTCACATGTCTGACATTAAGGGCTAAACACCTCCCACCCTGCTTGTGGTGCCATGGGATGGGTGGCCCCGCTAAGGAGTGACAGCTTGTCTGGGGGCCAGCAAAGGAAATGCCAACTTGGGGAAAGGACAGGAAACCAGTTTTCAAAGTACTCAGTGTTTGTCCTTTTGGCGAAGCCAGTTTTCATTCACATCACACTATGATATATTGTATGTTATTCTGTGATAGACAATGTCATATATGTTATTTTATCTACTCCTCACAACAACTAATAGGTCCATCAATAGGTCTCAGATGAGAGAGATCCTATATAATAAAAGAGTAATGTGCAAATTGACCCTAATGGAGGAACGACCAGTCACTATGACATGCACTGACCACCAGGAGCTACCCCTGGTGGTCAGTGCGCTCCCACAGAGGAAGCTCCACTCAGCCACAAGCAGGGCTGATGGCTACAAATGCAGCAGCGGTGGCGGGAGCCTCTCCCACCTCCTCGTCAGCACTAAGGATGTCTGACTGAGGACTACCGGGCTGCCAGAGGGATGTCTGACTGCCAGCTTAGGCCCAATCCCCCAGGGAGCGGGCCTAAGCTGGCAGGTGGACATCCCCCGAGGGGTCCCGGACTGCAAGAGGGCACAGGCTGGGCAGAGGGACCTCCCTGAGTGCATGAATTTTCATGCACCAGGCCTCTAGTTTAATAATAAAAACAAAGTGGGATCAATTTTGCAGCAAGCAAGAACATTTCAGAATTCTCTACCACCTCTGCCCACTGTATGGCTTTGATTAGGCTCTAAAGGGAGAAAGGTTTACATACCTAATCATATACACAGTGGCTGCAAACTAGCAAATAATCAAAAGTTGCTCTATAAGGTTGTGTTACAGAACCATACCTACTATACTTTCCAGGTGACTTATAGGTAAGAGTGGTTGTGACTGTTCATGGTTTTCTCTCATGGCTGACTTTAGAATTTAATCCCACATACAATGAAAGTCCACTCTCTGCAAGGAGTGAAATATGGCCCAACTGTAAGGCTTTTAATAGGGTGGACCCAGGCAGAGTGCGTCACTGCATCCCCTACCGTCTGCATCCTTCCCTCAGTGGTGCACTCTCCCTCATCCTGTGGCCCACCTTCTGAGACAGAAACTCACATTCTTTGTTGGCCTATCTCCCACTACCAGCTCCAAACCTTTCCTGGGACTGCAGAGGCCTGTCTTGAGTTTCCTGCAACAATAAGTGAACCTTTGGTGCTTAGTGTTTTTCAGTTAACAAAGTACTTTCACCTACAGTGTCTCATTCGATCCTCCCCAAAAGCTTGTGGGATTATGAACTCTCCTTCAGAGGATATAGCTGAGGCCCAGAGAGTTGACAAGTGACTTACCTGAAAGAATCCTATTTCTTCATGACTGAAGTTTGAATCTAAGTTTCTGACTCTAAGTCACAGTGCTTTATCTTGAGTACAATTCACACTGATTGGCACTATTGCTTTTTGTATAAAATCCACCTAGCAGAGTTCAGGGGCCTCCTGTCTCCAGTCTTTTTTACTGGGCCATAGACTCTTCTTATCCATAAGATCCCAGTGTGTAAGCATCACAGCAGCTGTCATCATAGCTGCAATCCTAACACATACACATCTGCTTAGGGAGTGAGAAAGAGTAATCACTGTATGAGCCCAAACAAAAGCATTCAAGACAGTTGCCAGCCACTCTTTCCTTATCACCAAATGGCAGTGGCAGCAGCTGCTTGTCCCTCCTCTTCCTTTCCTTCCTCCTCCTGTTAAGGACTAAGGGCCAAGTATTTTACACACATTATCTCAATTAAACTTCCTAATAAATATGAGAAGAATTCTTATCCCTGAAGTATAAAATTGAAGTTCAAAAGGTTAATTTGCTGAGGGCTCCCAGCTAGTATTTAGTAGAAAGAGAATTAATAAACAAACAAACAAAATAAAAACACTTGGCAATACCCTACTTTGTGTTGATGCTTGTCC